TATCAATGATGATTCATGTGTAAGAAAGAAAAAACCACGACATATTTCACAAAGCATTATTCTTTATAGAAAACAATTCTTTTAACACAAAGCATACTACCCAGTCTAAAATTTCAAAAATGGCTGATACAGGTGTTATATCGCCCTTTTGGCTATACAAGTAAATACAGCTTCAATCTATTGATGGTCAATGCATAGAGTAAGTAGTTTTTTTTACCAATTGGGTATCGTTGAACATGTTAAACACCTATAAATGACACAAAATTACACTTTTCGAAAGGGATAAATATGCTCAATCGGTATATGATGCTTGTTCGATGTCTTTTACCTCTTGTCCTCTAATATAGCTTGTATTTGTCGGATTCTTGTGTCAATCAAGATTATTGATATGCCATGTATATAAAGGTGGGCACTGGCTTATTATTTAGATATGAGAGAGAGAGAGAGGAGGGGGAAAAGAAGATAGGAGATTGCAGGTATTGTTGAGCATTTAAAATTTACATGCCTTCTGGCAATAAGTCAGCACGTGCACATTAGGAAAAACTGCAGTTGTATCCTGTTTAGTGTTTTCGATATTAAGCAGAAACTCATTTTTTTAATATGTAAGCATAGCTTTGAATTGGTGTTAAAATGATCTGCTCTACGTAATTAAAATCAAAAGATACCATTTATTTTAATTAGACAAATTAGTATTCTAAAAAAAGGTGGTACATGTTAGTAGAATACACAGCCAAATCTAATACACGATGAACCAATTCTACATGTATTATTTACGAACTTGAAATTAAAAATAATATTTTCTAAAGTTTTTCACTTAATTTAATTTCTTTACTTTGACTGTTATAAAGGTTTGACTTGTATTTATTTTTTGTCCTTTGGCTGCATTTCTAATTAAATTACTATCATGCATATTGCATAGTGTAACTTATAAAATGCTAATAAATTTGTCAAATAATAAAAATTACGAGGGTTGTACGTAAAGTTGTGGGCAACTAAAATTTAAATAAAAATAGTGTCATTGATATTTATTAACATATTTATAATCCTATACTAAATTCAAATTACAAAATGTAGAATTATATTCAATTTCAAATATATAATTACAGTTCTGGCTTCATTATTAGACTTGGTTTGGGATCCCGGAGCACATATTTTGATTAAAGAATTATTCATTACTTTACAAATGTCATCGTATTTTGTAAAATTCCGCGGAAATTTGGATTGCTTTTACATTATGAGGTTGAACAAAAAATGTGCATAATTTGAAGTTCTATCACTTGACAACAATAAAAAAGGGCTGGCCCCTCAAATTAGGGGTCAATGGCACTTGAAAGTTTTTACTTTATTTTACTTTATAACTCAAAAACGGTAAATATCTTTATCATTTTGTTTATATGGTTATCGATTTGAAATGGGTTCTTTAACATCTTATTGATCTCATGAAAACGTTTTTTGTTCGGGCCATGTGTTATTAAATGAGCAGAAAACTTTATAGTCCATGTACAGGTAAGTGATTTTGTTCGGCAAGTGTAGAAGAATTCTTTATTCGTGTAACATGTCTATAACTGAAATAACTGGATAGAAACAATACACATAACTAAATTGAATGTTAAATTTTGTTGAAATAAGGTTCTTAACGCATTCTCGAGGTGGATTCATGCCTTGCAGATTTTCCAGAGACAACTTTTTCCTTTTATTTATTTTTTTAAAAGATGAGAGTAAGGGGGAAAATCATATTTAATTTCCTTTCTTTATCATGTTTATTATTCAATGTATAGCATGCTATTAATATTTTAATAGAGCTTTCAAGCTTAGAATAATTCACTGTCTTTTAATACATCCATCGTAGATTCTTCTCGGGCCTTGGCTGCTCTGTGTACTGTTTATAGTTATGTAACCCGTTCATCGATCGCGCATTGACCCGTATATACGTTCAGGGAGTTCGATACACAGTGACTGTGTTGTGTGTAAACCATTTGCGCATGTAATTTTTGTCTGATTTCCGTTTAATGTTGAAACAAACAAAATTGTAAGTCAATAGAAAAACATTAAATAACATTAAGTAACTCAGTCTCAAGCTGCACACATTTTACATACAAAATTTACATGTATACAACCATTTCTCCGATCAAAGGACAACCTAGCTGAAGAAAATAGAATGACAGTTTTTATTTTGTATACTAGACCACTTATAGCTTTGGTATTATAGAAATTTTACACGTTATCATGTCTCCTCTGCAATATTTATTTAATTACTGTTGAAAATCAAAGAAAATATTTTTTGTGTGAATCGTAAAGAATATTTCTACAAAGATACATGAAGGTTTTGTTGAAAATAAATATGTATTCAAATATATTCATTGTAAATGTACATTCTATTCTATATGACGAATGGCTAGTGCATGCTACGATTTCACCCTCTTCTCCGCTGCTCAGGCGAGATTACAAAGTGTATGGGTGAGTTCATCAACCAAACTGAAAAGGTGACACAGGATGGGCTATCCCATTAACATTTTCCACAATGATCTGCGAATTTCACAGAAATTTAATTGCGCGTACATAAATATTACATTCTTCCCTTTTGGTCTCAGCCGGAACGTATAATTAGTCCCCTACCGGTGAAACCGGGGGGGACTATAGGTTTCCTCTGCGTCTGTCCGTCCGTCCGTCTGTCCGTCCCCGTCAGTCTGTCCCACTTGGTTTTCCGCACTTTTTTTCTAAACGCTTGCAGCTATTGAGCTGAATTTTGGTACATGAGTGTATCTTAATGAGTTACAGATCAAGTTTGAATTTCGTTTCGCTTCATTGATTTCTGACAGAATTATGGCATTTTGAATATTTTTCATAATCTCTTAATTAAGACCAGGTTCGAACTGCGCTAACTTCCGATTGTCGACAAAAATATGAAGCGAGGAAAGGACGATGGATAAATGAGTTGAATTGCCGTCTTAATGTTTGTTATTTTATTAGATTTAAGGCATTTGCAACTTAAAAATCTTTCAGTTTAACCTTGGACATGACTTTGCACATTAAAAAATGACATCCTGAAGAAAAAGGGGAACCCGGTAGGGGACATGTATTGCTTATGCAATACTCTCAGAATGCTTGTTAACAGTATGACATTTAACCCTGGACACGACATAGTCAAGACGTTTTACTACCATTTTTAATTATGATATCAAAAATATTTTTACATCACTTGGTGGGATTTCATAGCAGTATTCCAGGATCTCATGTTGAAGTCACAAACATCTACACTTCTTAAGAGCATGTCTCAGAGAAAAACATGCAAAATGGTCTAGTAGCAAGGTTCTCCAATTGCCTTCAAATTTTGCGAGCTAAATCTAGTATGCATGAATGGAAATTGGACAAATTTTTAATGTGCCAACCATACCGGTATACCTTATATGACCTGTTACTAAAAATAGCTCTTATGCAACAAAATCTCAGGTCATATTTTATACTTTTTAGTCATATTTGGAGAAGAATTAAAACTGCAACTCTCATTATTATCAAAATATTTAATTTTGAAATAAAAGAACACAGGTTAGTACTTCTTAAGTGCATAGTAAAAATGACTGACATCCATTGTGTTTAAGTGCAAAAAGGTCATAAAATTGGCAATGTTCCATATTTTTGAAAAAATGTCAATTTTCTAATAAATTGAAATAACACTAACTGCCATAATGGAAATTTTAATCTAGTAAATTTTACTGCTTATTGTTAAGGATGATTATGTGAACAAAATATGAAAAAAATGTTGATGGCAAATTTAAACTTTAGTATTTATTGAATGTCAAAGTAAGTTAATTTTTCACACTCAAGATATCAAAAATACTTAAAGTGTTATACATAAAATACTTCAAAACTTTTCAAAACATTAAATAAAAATCTTTTTGTGGTAACATTCATATCTGTATTTTAAAAATTAAACATATTAATGACAGTTCAATAGATAACACCTCTATAAATCAAAATAATCCATTAGAAAGGGGTGGGTGTGGGGGGAGGGGGGGGGGTGTTACACACAATATTATGAATCCCCTTTCATCTCTTAAACTTAACATGTAAGGAAAAGAATATTGTAAATGTTTTAAGTAAACAAAACCAAACTTCTGTAAAAATTAATAAGTTTGATTATTTTTCAACATCTTTTGAATGTGATAGCTCTCCTAAAATAGAATTCAGAAAACAAGTGCATAAAGGTCAAAATTAGCATTGTGATCTCTTATTCTACAATATATGGTATGTAATACATGAACTTCATGTACATAATGTTGGTTACAGTAAACACACTTAAAATGAATTCATGTTTACAGTTACTGTAGTTAATTTCATCCTCTGTTGATTCCAAAACATGTTACACTGTATTGGGAACTAATTACTTTTATAATGATTCATACATTCTTTGATAGAAGTCATATTGTGATGTAGGCAACAGAGTTTATAAATTTAAAATAACTTATTTTGATATCCCATCAAACTGAAAATACTGTAACAATCAGAATTCTAACATTTTAATGATCATGAAACTTTTGATCATAATGTAAGAATGTCAAAATCAATTCCATGGTTCAGTATATTGGAACCTTTAATTTCCAAGGTTCTAATTTTTGTGTGTGTGTGTGTGTGGGGGGGGGGGGGTTAATTTTCAATGTATTTGGGGCATGGAGAGACCCACAAATTTATGACTATCATGAAATATAAAATTTTTATGCTTAATTACTACTCAACACTTCAACAACTACAAAATAAAATCAAAATTTCCACATATCAATATTTTTTTTCTGAATCCTCGATTCCCCTCTTTCAAAATATGTGATTATGCATGTTATAAACTTACTGTATATTTACAGATGTAAACCACACAAGTCATCTGATCTTCATATTCATTCGAGTCTAAAGCAGAAACAATCTCTGCAAGTTTTTCATCCTCATCAATACAAACATCTTCAAAACACCTTTCAGACAACAATTGATTTTTTACAGAGGGAGGTACAGAGACATTCTTAGATTTTATTGACAAATATACATGTATGAGGCAATATATCCCCTTACTTGTGAAATATTTAGCCATTTGTCTTTCTTAAAAAGTCTTTCACCATTTTTATCAGTTACTTTCTTCAGCTCATCTGCCAATGAGACACTATTGGGGCATTTTCCTGTTCTGTCACATTCTTTGCATATCATGCACAAGTACCGTAGTCCTTTTCTTTCTTGGAGAATTGTATTGCTTTCTTCTGCTCTCCAGTGCCAAACCCATGCTTTCTCCTGTTGGCTCACTCTGGATTCCATCATCAACTCTACCTGATTTGACTGTTTGTATCAATAAATTTTGAGACTCTCTAATGCTTTCACATTTTGTAGCATATAAATTTGCTGCAGTGTTCCTACTTGATCTTCAATTTCTGTAAGACTGATTTCCAACTCCCAGAAGTTTTTCGTGATTGCAACATTTTGAAAATACTGTCTGTTATGATGAGTCCGGACAGAGGTTAAACATGTATTGTTCAGTATTAATCTCTGTGCTTCCAGCAGAACTTTCATCTGTAAACTGCTTCATATTTCCCTTGATCAGTCAGCTCAAGGTGTTGGGTAAATGAAACAGTTCCACTCCTGTGATCCTCCTCTCTTAGAAAACTCTGTATTACCTATAATATGAATTAAAATGCACCATAAGCAATTTACTTTAGATGAAGGTAGTAATTTATTCTAAGACTAATTATTAAGTGTACTTTTCATAATAGGACCGTTAACAGTAGCCTAGTGGTAGAGCATTCCCTTCGTGATCGGGAGGTCCGGGTTTGATTCTCGTTCCCGGTGCCACGTCAAACCTAAGAAGTAATAAAAAATAGGTAGTGATTGTTCCTTCACCAAGCACTCGGCATCAGAAGTGACAGTCAAAGGTCTTTCGGATATGACCTTAAAAACGTAGGTCCCGTGTCACGGTAGGCGCTGGCACGATAAAGAACCCTCACCGCTCAATGGCCCTGAGTGCCCAGTATATAGGTCTAAATTTGAAGCCCTTCACCAGCAAATGGTGACGTCTCCATATGAGTGAAAAATTCTCGAGAAAGCAATAAACAATATATACATTCAATCAATCGTAATGATAGGATGAATAAATATGTTGTCGGAAAACAAACCACTTTAAGTACTTCATTGATCTTGTACTGCATCATGAAAAAAGTGCCCCAGTGCTTTTAGAATAAATTTGATTACTGACCTTTCTTGAAAAAAAATCTTTACTTTGACGTAACCATGTTTACCTACCACAATCCCAATATATCTTATGTCATGACATGTGACCTTTGTAAACGGTTAAATTACAAATTAGAAGATAATGTATGGGTTTTTTTTAATTTTGATGAACAGTGTTGCCATGGTTAATAAAAAATAGAAATTTCTGTGAAATACTTTCAAAAGGCTATTTTAAATACAGTTTTAGTCTGATTATGATATAATGTGGCATGCAAATAGACTACACAGAGAAACAATTGTTGTTTTTGTTTTTTTTCATATTGATGAATGATTTTGTCTGAAAATTTTGTAAAATTTTATAAAAGCAGCTCCTACAGTTGTGGTTTTATTGCAATCTTGCCACAAAAAGAGGCTTTATCAAAAATCATTATTCTAGACCCAACTGCTACTTTTTTCTTCCTTTTTCTGTTTGTAATAAGTACAAACCAATAGAGCTACAGTCTCAACAGAGACTTATGGTTTGTTTTGTTACATGTATGTTGCACTATTACAAAGTATCATAATACATGTAATATAAACAGGTATTACATGTACTATAAATTATAGTTATGCATTTTGGCCAGTTCTTTTAAAATCAACTGGCCCAGTTGGATGATAAGAGTATTGAGTAATTAAAAAATCAAGGTGATAGCCTAAGTGACCAGTGAAAAATATAATTATTAATTTTCTAGCCCTACACTTTACCATATGAATTTGCTTCAGGGTTTTCTCTTCTGATTTGGTTGGATCCAATAAATACTGCAGCACATGGACAACTGTTGCTATAAGAAAGCTTTAATCAATTGTAAATAATTTATAATTCAAGAGAGGAATTATAAAATATATGTGAGATGTTTAAAACCTCTATAATACACCAGGTGTACTAGCAATCATATGCTGTCTAGAGCATGTACATGCTAAAATTTTCAGTATAAGCTTTATGAGTGGCAGTATATTTTAATAATTTTTATCAATGTTCTTGATTTTCAAAATATCATCAATTTGAAGAATTTATAGGCACTCAATTTAATTTTGTATAAATCTTTATGTTATTATGGTGATGAAATATTTGTGTGATCAGCTAAATTGTCCTTGCATGTATTAAAATATACCTATTTCCTCTTTTAAAACCACTGTCATACTCCTTGTTCCAAACTCATACATTCATTATTTTAACTTCCAACTGAAATTCTTTGTCCTACCTGATCCAACTGAACTGGTATATTGTCTCCCTCATTTTCAACCAGTATTCTTTACAAAGGTAGGGGTAGCCCATCGGTCTGCTTTTGCTTTCTTCCTTTTGATCGGGACGGTGTAACACGGCAGCACTTTGACTTAATTCTTTGCCATTTTAATCCTTGATTGTCTTTGACATACTTATAATTTTAATGTGCTAGTAGTGTCAATGGAAAAAAATACCATTTCTAAAGGCCTACAGAATGCAGCAAAACGATCGCCTCTGGTACATCATAAATTTTCCATACAACCCAGCTAGGGTATGTTCAGAGATTTGAGTAAACGCAAATGGTTTGAAAGATCCTTAGTGTATTCTTCTAAATGAATTTATTGGGCCATCACTGCTTGAAATGTTTGAAAAATTGCTGAAATCACATTGTTCTTCTGCCCCCGCAGTGTTGCAATTTCATTTTCACCCTTTTTTGTATGGAGAGTTCTACTACGGGAGATAACTCTTCAACACACCAATAACACTCATTTTATTATCTTTCTTTATCAATTTTGGAGAATATTTTAAACTTTCACGAAGGTTTTAATTTTGATTGTCTTTCTCAGCATTTATTTACACTAAAATAAAATTATTAATCATCAATTGAAGCAATATTCATTACATTTGAACAATTTTAAGATACAAATGGAGAGCTTGGCTAACATCGAAAGGTCATCATTTCCACCAATTATTTGTTATATGTCCTATTAAAAGCCATCAGTGAATTTTTAATATTTGATAGAACATAAATAAATTATTATAAAGCACATTATTAGATCAAATTATTTTCTCCATTTAAGCTGTACCATTGCACTAAACAAGGATAATAAATCTAAAGTTCTAAATTTAACCTTACTCGTGGCTCGATCATAGAATACATATAGATGCAATCATTGTGAAAAATAAATATTTTTCATCTTTGACATATATGTGTTGATGATATAATTTGTATTTGGCATTGCAAAAATTTTTCAATTGATTTTGCAAGGTCTCAAACTTTCATATTTGCACCTACTATTTTATGCCAATTTTTGCTAAATATAGAAACAGGGCTGTTACTAAAAATAGAAACACGTGGCACACTTTCCAAATTTAAATTTTAGATCCTCAGACAACCTAGACCTTAAAAATCTATGATAAAATGAAACGTTTTGTAGACCCTCCCGGACGATTTTTTAGATTTTGCATGTTTTTCTCTGAGACACGCTCTTAAGATATGAAGTCCTAAAACTCGGAATCCCATGGGAGAATGGTTGGATTTTCAGTCCCACCAAATATCCCACCATTCTCCCATGGTAGAAAAAATTACAGATGGGATATTTTCTCCTGTGGGATTTTTTCTCCCACAAATTTGTTCAAATGGGATAAATCCCACGTATATTGACAATCAAACTATTTCTCCCGTTTATTGTGAAAAAAGGAATATTTTCCACAAATCATGACAATTACAAATATGTCTTCATAATATATATAATATATTCTTACTATAACAATGTATTGGTGAAAATAATTCATTGTTAATTTCCATGGGATTTATCCCATTTGAACAAATTTGTGGGAGAAAAAATCCCACAGGAGAAAATATCCCATCTGAATTTTTTTTCTCCCATGGGAGAATGGTGGGATATTTGGTGGGACAAAAAATCCCACCATTCTCCCATGGGATTCCGAGTTTTAGGCCTAGGACTTCATATCTTTTGAAGTGGAGAAGTTTTGTGAGTTCAACATGAGACCCTGAAATACTGCAAAGAAATCCCACCAAGTGATGTAAAATATTTTTGATATCATAATTAGAAATGGTAGTAAAAAGTCTGGACTATGTCGTGTCGTACTGTTATATCCTGTGTCTGTCAGATAACAGTGAATCATGTTTTATTAGAATGTTCTGATTTTACACCCATCAGAAGTAGACTTTTTGGTAACACAAAAACCATACATGAACTTTTTACAAATATTAATGTACATGCAATTATAGAATATTTACATGAAACTGATTTTTACTACAAAATATAGAAATGATTAGAGCACTTTTATGAGATATATTTAGATCATTTTATTTTTAACAGTTTGCAAATTTATAACAGCTTACATATTTTTAAATCTTAAGTCCGTCGGATCGGACATTAAATAATGGTGCCCGTGTCAGGGATAACAACCCCCTCTGCACGTAAAAGACCGTTTCTCTGGAGTTCGAAAAAGATTTCATTTCTATTATCCACAAGAAACATATTGACGCAAGCGTCAAAAATCGGCCGCAAAAATTAATTCTTCCATTGATCATGTTGATAAAGTATTCAAAACTGAAAATTGAGTGATCTGTTTTTAAAATTTCTTATATTTATCGGTTGAAATATCCTCGTGACATGAAATACTTAGATGCGACATTGCCGAATTTCTTCATGCATAATGCATGTACAATATTATATGTATAAGCAAACTGTACATAGACCTCTGCGTCTCTGCACGCAGTTTAAACTTAGCTTTAGTTTAACTTTAATTTAAACGGAACAAATATGAAATATGTGGGACTTTCTCAGAAAATGTTAACAACCCCCCCCCCCAAATCCTTCTAGATCCACCACTACATTTCTTCTCTTTTAGTCTCTTTGTTTTGGCGTTGAAATGTGGCGGGAAAATGCTTGGCACATTGTAAAAACGCGCTTTATCCTAATCTCATGGACAAAATTGTCGCACGATTTGTGCTTTAAGAAAATCAAATTTTTGAAAAATGTCCATAGGAAATATATAAATGTACACGGCATTTTGAAATAAGTACAACAAGTCCTGTCTATGCTGTTTAAAAAGAGAAAATAAAATTGTTGAGATGCAACGTGGTCTTTGTTTTAGACTATATGTCTCCATAAGACGCTTCGTGCTAATTTCTCCGCACGTCAGTAATGTCAGAGTTTGTCAATCAGGATTGGATTAAATATTTACCCAATTATTTATATTTTTTTATTTTATGATTATTGTGTTCTTGTTAAACATTTGGATATCTTTGTTTAATGTTCTGTATATGAATGTTATTAAATATTTTTATTCAAATTGTTCTAACTCCGCAGAAACGCACGACGACTTAAAAATTTCATATCAACAAACCGAACGCCTCCTGGCGGCCGGTAATTAGTCAGCCCCCGGGCTGATTAGTTACGTTAGGATGAAACCGCAAGTGCGCTTGCGTTAATCGGAATTCTGGGAAAAAGATTTGCACGATTCTCTAACCAGAGGGCATGCTTTTCACGCACAATGACCTCGATCTTTTTATAGACTGCATTGTTCTTTGTCGTTCTCAACGAAAATTAATGACATAGACTATTCAGCTTCTAGATGGGATATTTGTCATTTTTTAAATGATACTATGAAAATATTTTATTGCTTCTAATAGAAGATAAGTACATTTATTCCCACAATCGCCATTGCAAACCGAAGATTTAAATTGTGTATTCCTCTGGAAGCCTGATGCAAGACCCCTCAATCTTGCATAAGACATTTACGGGTCGGAATTCACACAACAATCCACTTGCCACGAACATGACAAAGGTCCAAAAATAGTGAAAAAAAAGAACGATCAATTTCTTTTCACTCTTATGATGGAAGTTATTAAAACATCACAAGACCACTGTAAGACAGTAAATTCTTATACTTTATATGATGATAGACATGTACGTGCCGCTTGAGCACGTAAACCGCGGCCACATGTGACAAATTGACCACAGTGGAAATGCAATAGTGCTAATTTATTGACAGGATCAACATCGCCCCTTCCAATGAAAGAGGAGAGAGAGGGGGGATGGATTCCAGTATTTTAATCTATAGTTTTGCTATGATGGTATTTTGAATTTCCATTTTTAATTTTTTTTCCATGGGGTTCATAACATATTTGGAAGCAATTCTTTTCTTTCCTAATAACACTAAAATGGATGCTCAAACTTAGAAATTGAATTAAATATACATGCAGTATCCCCCCTCAACATCATGCATTGCATCGAAATGCACAACTGAAAACTGTTATTTAATAATATATGTGTTTTAAAACAATTTAACACAAAGTCAACCTTCTTTTATTAATCATAATCTAGCTTAGGGCTGGGCAATAATATCGATATTTCAATATATTGCAAAAAAATCGTATCGCAATACGATTTTGTAATATCGATATATTGGCAATATTTTTGGATTAAGGAATTTTGTCATTTAATGTAAAAATGGACTAATGAAAGTTTGTTATTAAGCCAAACAGTAAGTCAGAAGTTGTTTTGTGGTAACATTTCAGAGCTTAACTTAAGTGAAATCAACAAGATTTTTTTTCGTGTTGGTTACTTATTATAGTTATGTATATTCTGCATGTAAATTAAAGTAAATATAGTAAAAAAATGCTATTTTTATCAATTGAAAATATTGCAATACATATCGCAATATTAATACAGTTTAAAATATCGCAATATATCGCAATACGAAATCTGGGGCCAATACCAAGCCCTAAATTCTAGCTATATCATTTTTTTTTTATAGAATTTAACGTGATCCTAGTTGCCATGGTGGCTACACTGTAAAAAATAAGTGTTTTAAAAATAAACACCATATTGCAACAGATAATAAACACTTCAACATGTTTAGAATTTAAACACCTCAAGAAGTGTTTAAGAAATAAACATGTTAGAATGTTTAAATTCTAAACACATGATGTTTAATAATCAACACTTCAAAAACACAAAATGTTTAAAAATTAAACACTTAATAAACACTTAGAGTTTACTAAATAAACACCGTGAGTGTTTAAAATTTAATCATTTCATGTTTAATAAATAAACGCGTTCAACCTAAACACTTAAACGCTTAAACATGTTTATTTGATGCAATAGATAATAATCACTTAAACATGTTTATTGGTTAATTTTTAAACACTTCAACGTGTTTATTTTACAAAATAAATAAATACTTAAACATGTTTATAAGTTTTCAACATTTTTATTTAAAACAAATATAAATCAGTACAAAGCTCACTGTGGTTGATAATGAATATGTTGTACATAAAGCTTTTTTTATTGATAAATGATTTAATGTTGATTGAGGGTTCAAATTTTATAAACAACTGAAACATTAAATAATTAGTTGAAAAAATAGAATTCTAAAAATAAACAAGCATGAACATGTTAAACCTCTCGGGAGGGGGGTGGGTCTTTGAAATATGAGAAAAATACATTATCGCTTTTAAATAAAATGAAATGTTTCTTTTTTAAAAAATAAAAGAAGCAAAATGACAGATAAATATGATGCAAAAAAAATGAAAATAATAATTTGTTGTCTAGGTACAGCATGTATAATATGTACTTGTTTGACACTCATAAATCTGGTTGTAAATGTTACAAG